CCTCACGTCGCCGTCTCCGGTCGCCTTCCACAGCCTCCTTACTGTTGCATCCTCTCCTGTCTAGGGTTTGGTTTAGGGAATTTTTAGCATTTTTCTTTGGAAATTGATGGTGTTTATTGCTAATTTTATGTTTGTAACAATGTTAATGATGATTGGATTACCGGCATTTTGCAATTTCTTGAGGATTTGATACTGATACGAAGAACAACATCTTTTCTATATATCCGTTTAGAATTGATTGTATTTCTTGAGGGTTAAAATGGTGATTTGTTGTAATTCAGAGAACAATTACCAAACAACCTTGTTTCATTCAGCACTTAACCATTCTGATCCTCTTAGCCATTCTAACCTCTTAACTATTCTAAACTAAATCATTCAGCAACTGCCAAACAGCCCCTCAGTCTTAAGATTTATTTTGCTTTTATTTTCAAGGCACATGTAATTAATTAAGATGGTCTTAATGAAAAGAAGATGTAGGTAGACCATCCTTTTTGGTTTTGCTTTTGTTTGTGGCAAATAATTGATGGCTTTATTGATAATCAATGTAAAGTTGATTGTTGAGATATTTGTTTTATTAAGCTCTAAGTCACATGCTTATCAATTAATCACTGTATACATCATGTCATTGGATTTTATTTACTAATTGTAACACACTAAATTTTACGTCCTATAATTTGGTTATTCTGAATTTGTAAAAATTAAGGGACCGTTTGATTCGTGAAATTTGAAGAAATTTGATGGAATTGGAATGAGAGATTCCTTTGATCACATTTTAATTCCTTTGTTTAGTTCATTTTTTGAAATAAATGAAATCCTTCAAATTTCATTCAATTCCACAAAATTAATGAATTTATCATTTCTTGGTATAATGGAAGGAATTAAATTTCATCATCATCCACTACGATCATGCTACTATTGTTCATCATGCCCACCTTACCACTACCACACCACTATTGTCGCCGACACCCACCCTACCATACTACTAATCACCATGCCACTATTGTTGTCATCACAACCACCCACCCTCCGGCCACTCACTGCACATCCCTATTACGACTATGCTACTACCATTACTGTCACACCCCTAATTTAACCCTACCACCATACCATATTGTTACTTTTACAACTGTCATTCACCCCTACCCCACCCCATCACTAACCACCATGCCACTACTATCGTTGTTATACCCACCCACTCCCAGCCACCCGACCACCATCTCACCACTGTCTACATTACCGCCCCACACCACCATCCTACCACTATAGTCATCACAACTACCACCCTACCACCCACTGCCTCATCTAATCCACCCCATCGCCCCACCCTGTCTGCCCCCAACAACCCCCCACCTATGGAGCAAGGGTGGGGCAGGAGTGGTAGGAGTGGTGGGGGTGGGGCAGGGTTTGGATATGATGGGTGGGGTGATAGCTATAAAGACGAGAGTAGTGACATGGTGGTTAGTTGGGTGTGGGCAGGGTGATGAGTGTGATAGTCCAAAAAAAACGCTTGTTTCAAATTTTTTGAGAGATTTCATTTTAATTCCTACTACCTAAACGTGAGGTCAAATTCCATCAAATTTTATTTCACTTCCTTCAAAGTCAAATTCTTTTGATGGATTTCAATTTCAATTTCATCTAATTTGATTATGGAAACCAAATACCCAATAATTGCATGACAATCACGTGGGGTACTTTGAGTGATAAGACATTCCAAATCATTATGCAGCTATTTTTTTTCTTAAAAAAAAAACTAGTACCAAGAACATAAAATTCTCTTTATTTGGAAAAAAAATCTTAAAATTTTGTTTTGTATTAGAGAGAGCAATGTTAACAAGGAAAATTTGTTAGGG